AAGGAAATACGGTACTTTCCACAGATTATCTACATACACATGTACATACATGTAAATGCTTTATAATAGGTGAATAATATAAGGACATAGCATAAGTTTGAACATAAGAACTTGCAATGTATAGATAAAAGTCATTTCAAAAATACCAACTTTTTTATTAGTAACACCAAAGAGGCATAAAGTTGTAGATGTACATGTACATCTTTTAAGAACCAACTGTAGCATTGATTCAATAACATGTATCATCCCCTATATATATTCCTTACCAGTATGCAGTCTCCCTACACTGAGATCAGACCCCAGTTCATCCTTAGACCAGTGACCCAATCTACTGTCCCACACCAGACCCCTTGGATCAGTGTAGAAATATGAGTCAGGGGGGCCCCCTGAGATTCCTTTAACCTCGGTGAGCTGAAGGACAGCAACATGAGGCTCTGGTAGAGCTACTATCCTAGCCATCCTCTGAAGGATAATAATAATAATAATAATAATAATAATAATAATAATAATAATAATAATAATAATGAATAATTAATTTAAAATTAATGACATACTTCAGGTGCACATAAGACTTTATCACCTAATTCTAAATAAATAAATAAATAAATGTATGAATAAATAAATAAACAAATAAATAAACAAACAAACAAATAAAGAAATAAATAAATTACATATACACTATACATCATACCAGGTTGAAGTGCTGTCCTCTGTCTCCTCCCAGTGGGTACTGATGGACCAGCTGATGATACACGCCTGGGGGGAGGGACAGGGGAGGAGGACCGCCTGGGGACCTATGAATAATTAATGAGTAATTAATGAATAATTAATGAATAGGTAATGAGTAATTAATTAAATAGATTAATACATGTACATGTATAATGTACTTGGAATATTTGAGAAGAGGCTGATTTGACTGGTGATGAGTGACTGGTTTGTTTCTGATGGACAGTCAGTGACCTGTTGTGGTGTCTCTTAGAGAATACGTTAGTGGTGGTAGCTTGTAACAGGTAAGTGGCTATTTCATGATAAAGATCCCACACATCACCCTGGGGTAATGGAGGAGGTGAGGATATGACAGATACATATACATGTATTTCATTATTATAGTAGTACAGTATAGGTAGTCTGTATTGTATTGTATATTGCAATATGAAATTCATGAGATTGAATAGTAACATTATAAGAATGCAATAAAACTGGTATACAGATACCGTATAGCGGGCAATTTTGGAGGGGATTAAATTTGGCAAATTTGGTATTTTGATAGCCATTCGCCAAAATAAAATCCGCCATTTTGAGCCATTATACGCATGCTCAATGGCACATGGCCACAAATTTACCAAATTAAAATCCGCCAAAATTTAGCAATTCACCAAATTTCATCTCCTCCAAAATTACTTGCTATACAGTACATGTATTCTCTCACTCCATTGCTCTGTATCCTCCAGGCTATGTGGTTAATGACACTACCAATGTTAGTATCATTAGTAGCCACTGATACCATCTCCAGTACACCTAATAGTAACAATAATAATAATCACATATACATGTACACGTATTTATGCTGCATAGTAAGTTTGAGGTGATTTCAATTCAATCTAGATTTTTTAAAGTTGCTCCAAAATCAGGCCAAAAACCGTAAGCTATAGTCTTTGTTCTTTGGCCAAATCTCATCAAAACTGATGAAGATTGCTTCTCAAAAATGTGAACCAGTGTTTGACGTGCTCATGAAAATATTATTTTACTATTGTTCTGTGTTCTATTTTTAGTAACACAAAGTAACACATTACTCTATTTATAGTAACACGTTACCATTATTAGAGTCCAGATGATGGAAGAATACTGGTACTAGACACATTAAATGAACCACCTCAGACGCTAATAGACACCTGTACTGCCTGTACTGGGCGGAGCCTCTGCGAGTAGGGGGCGGGGCAGTAGGTGTGGCTAAGGAGTGGCTAATACCAGTTGATACTGTAGAGGTGGAGGAAGCAGGAGTACAGCATCTAGTGGGACTGAATTAATAATAATATTTATTTATTTATTTATTTGTTTGTTTGTTTATTGTTATTACCTTGTGTTTTCTCTGTTTGTTGTTTTTCTAGTATAGCAACTAATTAATAATTGTAGCCCCTGATATAACTGTGGATAAAGACCACCTTCCTAATAAATAAATAATAATAATAACTATTATTAAT